CAGACTGCCAACTAAACATTCCTGGTTTACGGTGGAATCGGTGAGGGTTCAGACATAACTCGATGAGCTAGGTTTGCGATCCTAGTCTCTGCTGAACTCTCTGATCGACACAGTTCTGGTGTTAAGGTCGTTACGGTATTTGATTTTTATGTATATTAATTTCCAGTTGACTCTTATTGTTCAGTCACATGTGAGAGGGTGAGTGTACCACCCTGATCAGATTTCTCCAACTCATATTAATGTATACTGAGGGACTTTCTACTTTTGTTCTTTTCCTTGTGGTAAGCAATTCTGGCGAAAGATAAATGACATATTTTAACTAAAACTGCGGGAGGCAGTTATTTGTTTCGTCTTTGATAAATTTTTTTTTATTATTATTGAAAACAAATCTGTTTTATATATTGTTTGTAATTTGAAAAAGAGTAGTTCACAATGGAGCGTTACATTTAGAAAAAAAACAAGATAAGTGGCCTCTTGTTAAATCAGTTACAACTTGAATAAAAAAATAATCTTGCCATCATCTCAAAACATAAAGATGCAGCTATATTATTTTGCTTTGTGTCCCTAGAGTAATTAATACATGAATGTAATGATTACCTGACAGGTATAATTATATAAAACCATTGCTACATGTATATCACAAGTTAATTTTAATTTATTGAGGTCTTTGTGTTATATTATCATAATTCTCCTGATTACAGATGTATATGCTATTCATTTTAAATGTTTAACTCAAAACAAGTGAACCTACCTGCAGTGTTTACACCTGTGTTCAAAGTCATTTAATTTAGCATTAAACTAAATCTATTTGGATTGAACTGGTGTGATTATTAATGTACTAGCTACAGTGTGGAACGTCACATGTTTAAAATGTTCGCCTGTTTGTTTTTAATTTGATGGTGGCATGACATCTTTGGAGGTAAATATGGCCATTAAAATCCCTAAACCTGGTAGGCCATGAGATGGGGAGTGTGTACCACTCTGTCCCTCTCACTACTGGTCAGCCAAGGTCGTTACGACCTCTATATCAGTTGATCAAGTCACAAAGATTAAAAAAATGAGACTTGTTAACAACAAAGGGCGTAAGTGTTGAGTTGGTTCTGCGACCACAAAGGGTGTAATTGTTGAGTTGGTTCTGAGGCCACAAATGGAAGTGTTGAGTTGGTTCTGAGGCCACAGATGTAAGTGTTGAGTTGGTTCTGAGGCCACAGATGTAAGTGTTGAGTTGGTTCTGAGGCCACAGATGTAAGTGTTGAGTTGGTTCTGAGGCAACAAATGTAAGTGTTGAGTTGGTTCTGAGGCCACAGATGTAAGTGTTGAGTTGGTTCTGAGGCAGCAAAGGGTTTAAGTGTTGAGTTAGTTCTGAGGCCACAAAGGGTTTAAGAGTTGAGTTAGTTCTGAGGACACAAATGTAAGCGTTGAGTTGGTTCTGAGGCCACAAATGTAAGTGTTGAGTTGGTTCTGAGGCAACAAAGGGTTTAAGTGTTGAGTTAGTTCTGAGGCCACAAAGGGTTTAAGTGTTGAGTTAGTTCTGAGGCCACAAATGTAAGTGTTGAGTTGGTTCTGAGGCCACAAATGTAAGTGTTGAGTTGGTTCTGAGGCCACAAAGGGTTTAAGTGTTGAGTTAGTTCTAAGGCCACAAAGGGTGTAAGTGTTGAGTTAGTTCTGAGGTCACAAAGGGTGTAAGTATTGAGTTGGTTCTGAGGCCACAAAGGGCATAATTGTTGAGTTGGTTCTGAGGCCACAAAGGGTGTTATTGTTGAGTTAGTTCTGCGACCACAAAGGGTGTAAGTGTTGAGTTAGTTCTGAGGTCACAAAGGGTGTAAGTATTGAGTTGGTTCTGAGGCCACAAAGGGCATAATTGTTGAGTTAGTTCTGAGGCCACAAAGGGTGTTATTGTTGAATTAGTTCTGCGACCACAAAGGGTGTAAGTGTTGAGTTAATTCTGCGACCACAAAGGGTGTAAGTGTTGAGTTAGTTCTGAGGCCACAAAGGGCGTAATTGTTGAGTTGGTTCTGAGGCCTCAAAGGGTGTATTTGTTGAGTTGGTTCTGAGGCCACAAAGGGTGTAATTGTTGAGTTGGTTCTGAGGCCACAAAGGGTGTAATTGTTGAGTTAGTTCTGAGGCCACAAAGGGTGTAAGTGTTGAGTTGGTTCTGAGGCCACAAAGGGTGTAAGTGTTGAGTTAGTTCTGAGGCCACAAAGGGTGTAAGTGTTGAGTGAATTCTGAGGCCACAAAGGGCGTAAGTGTTGAGTTGGTTCTGAGGCCAATGTCGTCAGTCCAGGGGATAAATATTCCACCTGATACTAAATGCTTAGTGAAGGATCATGATCCAATAGGTATTGGTTTTTATAGGTTAATCTAATTTTGGTATGTCTTTGCTTTAGAAAAAGAAAACTATGAGCATTTATTTAAACAAATTAAGGTGTCTGTTATTATAATCTGCATGTGAATGTTCAGGAAGATGTGTTGGTAACATAATTGTGTGGTGAGGAGTTGTACTCCTAAGTGATTTCTGTTTATGGTAGAGTGATTATATTGCTTATATTTTGTATGTAAGTAAAGATATATATTTTGTGTGTCAACAGTGGTCTACATGTAGCTGCCTTGTATGTGTGTTGTTATTAAAAAGGTCATTGTTACATGTAATTTTGTACATGTATGTCAAAGAGATCTATCTGGGGTGTGTTTTTGTATTCATTTTTGTAAGAGATATATATATATATGTTATATGTGTTTTGGTATATTTGTATGTGAAGGAGGTGAATCTTGGTAATGTTTTGTAAGTAGAAGAGGTCTAATATTTTGTATTTTTTTTTATATGTTTGTGTGGGTTATATACTGTGAGTGTGTTTTTGTATTCCTGTACCTGGTTTTATGTCGGTAAAGCTTTATATCTTTTATGTCGGTAAAGCTTTATATCTTTTATGTCGGTAAAGCTCCATTTCTTGTGTGTTTTTTAATTGAAAGGATTGCCTGATAGAAGAAATCTACAGGTGTTGGAAAAACCAAGTTGGTCTGTAAATAATTGTATCAGGTTACTTGTAGACTTATTGACTTCATTACAACTCTTCACTACAGATCAGGTTCCCCTCCGTAAATCTGTGTATGTGGGCGGACCATCCTGTCTTGGTGTCCTCCTTACAGGTGTTCAACTCCACAAACCAAAACCTCAGATAGGGAAAAAAACACTTAACACAAACAGTGACTTTTTTGATAAAAAAAGTTTTCATGATGAAATGTTACGGCTGATTTTGTTTTGAATATGAATTACAAACATTCACATTTAGAGTTTCTTTGATTTCTATGACGGTCCCTTGGTGTATGATTCACGGGTTTACCATATTCCATGCTATTTTTACCTGATGTAATCTCTCTGTGTTTGCCTATTGTAATCTGGATTGATAGGGATTACTCTATTGAGTGTAAAGCCAGCTAAATGATGTGTATTGTGTACACTGTTGTCCAAACCTACTCAAGGAATAATGCTCTTGAGACATTTTGGTCCTAGGTTGATAGTCCAGTCTAGCTGGTCACTGGGATGGTGCCAGATTTCTGACATAACCAATATTTTTTTCCTTACAGTGTAGGCTTGCCACATAAACATGAACATGGTTAGTCATTTGTTCATTAAACTAACAACCCGGGCAAAGTGAAAATATTATTAAATTCATTCATTACATTAGTAACTAAAACACATCGGTTGATAAGGGCCTCAGACGTGACAGTCTTTTAAACAACACAATAAAATCGTTTTATAATTTTTATTTGAAATGTTTGTTTTTATAAATGTCTTGAAATATTGTCTCTCCAGAAGTGGTATTTTCTTTAAATCATATAAACAAATATTGAATTCTATCTTTAATTGTACTGAGGTATGACAGTATTATAGAATATGATAATCTGTCGTCAACAGATTAATACATAATGTACGACATTCTGTCATCACCAGATAAATGTGATATTCTGTCATCACCAGATAAATGTGATATTCTGTCATCACCAGATGGATACAATATTTTTTTATCTGTAACAGTTACAGTCTACAGTTCTTTTCCTTATGTTAAACTCTAAAATCTTGATAATCTGTCTGATTTGAAAATAGGCTGGCATTAAGAAATAAGTCTTTGCAGGCCTTGAAAATGGATAATGAAAATTTTTGAGGTTTTTTTTAAGGATGATAAATGCAATGTAATGATGGCACAAAGAAATGTAATAATTGGGGACAGCCATAGCCAAAAAGGTCATGGAAAAACATACTTAACACCATCTAAAAGGCTTCAAAAGTAAAACAGCCAAGATAGCATGCCCCACATGGCTTACCACCTAAATGGTCTTGGAAATAAGATGGCATTGAAAATAAACTGCACACTACTTACTGTCTAAATGGCTTCATTCATAAGACAATCTTGAAAATAAGATGGTTTTGAAAATAAGCCTCAGATTTGTGACTAAAAATGAAAATAAGCCATGGATTATTATCAAAATTTTGGGTATATTTAATTTTCATTACATGGATGTATCCATGACTGTAACAAGCAGACACGGGTAAAAACTGTAAATCTGAATTAAAATGTGTCTTGATGGGATAGCATTCATTGAGTGTTAATGGCCACTTTTAGAATTTGCATGACAGATAACTGAGGAAATTGATTTATCTAGTTTTATTTCCACATTTAGATAAAACGTGTGCATATACATTTGACAAGTCATGTGTTATCGTGTTCACACAAGCAGTTTATAGAAACTTTTATGATTTTATGATTGGACTTCAGACATGCTGACATTATTAGGGTGTATGATATTGGGTTCATCAGATGAGCTGTTAGGCAAGCGAGACAACAATTTTTTATTGCCAGTTGTAGGTGTTTTCTATATAAAGTACTTGGTACTTGTATGATTGTTTGATATCTAAAAATGTTCATATCATTATCACTTTGTGTTCATCCATAATCTATTTTTCTGACTGATTTTTATCAGAACACTTGTTTTTATTTCAGCATCCTCATACAACTTTCCATCCAAACTTGACAACGACGTGGGTTTCCCCGCTGATATTAAAGTAGAAGCTAGTGACGAGTGTTTACTGGACGACGACAAAGATGAGAAAATCTGCGTAGTTTGTGGAGAAAAGGCCTCCGGCTACTATTTCGGTGCCCTGGTCTGTCTACCATGCAAAGTAAGTACCAATTCACATTCAAGCTAAGAGCTATCTCTTCGACCTCTCCCATTACCCTGTGTTTTATCGAAGGAATTCACAAATTGTACATAACGCTAGATGTGGTGGACAGAGTTGGGTATCCACGGTGTTATGGCCAGAGTTTGGTATTAATTGATCCAGAGTTAAGTGTCTAAGGTGTTGTGGCCAGAGTTAGGTATCCAAGGTGTTTAGTCCAGAGTTAAGTATCCAAGGTGTTTAGTCCAGAGTTAGGTATCCAAGGTGTTGTGGCCAGAGTCAGGTATCCAAGGTGTTAAGTCCAGAGTTATGTATCCAATGTGTTGTGGCCAGAGTTAGGTATCCAAGGTGTTGTGGTCATGTACAGTTAAGTATCCAAGGTGTTGTGGCCACAGTTAGGTATTTATTGATCCGGAGATAAGTGTCTAAGGTGTTTAGTCCAGAGTTAGGTATCCAAGGTGTTTAGTCCAGAGTTAGGTATCTAGGGTGTTGTAGCCAGGGTTTGGTATCCAAGCTGTTGCGGCCAGAGTAAGGTATCCAAGTTGTTGTGGCCAGAGTAAGGTATTCAAGGTGTTGTGTCCAGAGTTAAGTATCCAAGGTGTTGTTTCCAGAGTTAAGTATCCATGGTGTTGTGTCCAGAGTTAGGTATCTAATGTGATGTGGTCAGTGTTAAGTATCCAATGTGTTTAGTCCAGAGTTAGGTATCCAATGTGATGTGGCCAGAGTTAAGTATCAAGGTGTTGTGTCCAGAGTTAAGTATCCAAGGTGTTGTGGCAAGAGTTAGGTATCCAAGGTGTTTAGTCCAGAGTTAGGTATCCAAGGTGTTTAGTCCAGAGTTAGGTATGTAGGTAGTTGTTATCCAAGGTGTTTAGTCCAGAGTTAGGTATCTAGGGTGTTGTTGCCATGGTCAGGTATCCAAGGTGTTTAGTCCAGAGATAGGTATCCAAGTTGTTTAGTCCAGAGATAGGTATCTAGGGTGTTGTTGCCAGGGTCAGGTATCCAAGGTGTTTAGTCCAGAGTTAGGTATCCAGGGTGTTGTGTTCAGAGTTAGGAATTCAGGGTGTTGTGTCCAGAGTTAGATATCCAGGGTGTTGTGTCCAGAGTTAGATATCCAGGGTGTTGTGTTCAGAGTCAGGAATTCAGGGTGTTGTGTCCAGAGTTAGATATCCAGGGTGTTGTGTCCAGAGTTTTACCCTAAAGCCATGGTGTAGAATTTGTCTTGGTTAGTTTGACCTACTTGTATATATTCACAAAGTCATTGATCTTTGATCAATCATGCCAATGATATTTTTTAAAACATGATATTTGTAAAATAGAAGAATTTTATTAATAACAAACATCATATTTCAGAATAGCTTAAAATACACCAAAGATTACTAATTCCTTTGATGACAAGTTTACTGTACTTCCACTAATGGCTAATACTGCACTGCTTGATCCTGTAGATCAATGGATGGACACAGTATTCAAATGAACCGCTGAGTCACTGCCATCCAGAAAACCTGATATTGATAATACAGGAACTTTAAGGCTAAGATATACTGATGCACATATATATGTAGTTTAAATAAATGAGCACCAAGTTCTGTACAAATAGAAAATTGTTAAAATATTTAATTGAAAACACAATCCTTTAAATGAAGAGGATCATAGTTTAATTATGACAACCACAAAACAACCCCAGGTAAATTGTAGATTTATGTAGTTAACAATGGGAAGGATTTGCAAAACCTCTAAAGCTTTGTCACTTGTTATGATTTATTGATTGGTACAAGATGAGGTGTGTACTTTGTCTTAACTGGGCTCTGTCGAATACAGAATTTTATATAAACTAGTAGAAAAATCAGTCCCAATAAAACAATGTGTAATAGCTATAGGTAGACTCTACAATTGGGAATTCTATGCACACTGGCCTAATTATGAGGTCAGAGGGATGTCCAGTTTAAACAGAATACACTGGACAGTCAAACCTTGAAGTTTGATTCTGTTAAGCAAATTTAAAATTATCACAAGTTTTAATCTAGACATTTTAGATTGCTTTCAGTATTCCAATCAAGAACCAAATATTATCATTGAATATCGGATAAATTTTGGAGCAGATATCCTTTCTCTGTATAATGATGTTATGAATCTGTCATTGTTTGGAAGAAAGCTGGATTTTTGTGCACATTATGGGTGTATACCAGTATTATTGAAGTTTTGGTTGCCATGTATATATAACATTCCCATTGTTAGTACCACTGACAAGATTTTACACATCACCTTCAGGTTTGTGCTCCCTCAGTAATGGAGACATGTTTCAGCTAGAATTTGGTTCCGAATGACCTGTCTATCAATGAATAAAATCACCTCAAATGAGAATTAAAAATATTAGCAATAAAAAAGATCGATTAACATACATTTCACTTTGTCACACGACTACCGTTATATTTACATTTCTCACCACACCTTGCTGTTAGGAGACAGCTCATTAAAAATCGTAATAAATAATGAATATGAGTTAACTATTTAGAATACTTTAAAACCATTATATTCTATTTACATCTCTGTGAATGACAGATAGGATTCAATTGGAAATAAAACTCTAAAAATATATTAGAATTTTTGCATTTATCAGTGATCATTGATAGAAATTCTGGGTGGCTGTAACATTGTAGGTTTGTGCTACTCATTAATAATACAAAATGTAACAATGTAGATAATTGGAGAGACTTAACAATAGCTCCTTGTTCTGTAGAGTGAGGACTACCTTGTTCTGTAGAGTGAGGACTACCTTGTTCTGTAGAGTGGGGCCTACCTTGTTCTGTAGAGTGGGGACTACCCTGTTCTGTAGAGTGGGGACTACCTTGTTCCGTAGAGTGGGGACTACCTTGTTCTGTAGAGTTGGGACTACCTTCCTTGCTGTTAGGAGACAGCTCATTAAAAATCGTTATAAATAATGAATATGAGTTAACTATTTAGAATACTTTAAAACCATTATATTCTATTTACATCTCTGTGAATGACAGATAGGATTCAATTGGATATTAAACTCTAAAGATATGTTAGAATTTTTGCATTGATCAGTGATCATTGATAGAAATTCTGGGTGGCTGTAACATTGTAGGTTTGTGCTACTCATTAATAATACAAAATGTAACAATGTAGATAATTGGAGAGACTTAATAATAGCTCCTTGTTTTGTAGAGTGAGGACTACCTTGTTCTGTAGGGTGGGGACTACCTTGTTCTGTAGAGTGGGGACTACTTTGTTCTGTAGAGTGGGGACTACCTTGTTCTGTATAGTGGGGACTACCTTTTTCTGTAGAGTGGGGACTACCTTGTTCTGTAGAGTCAGGACTACCTTGTTCTGTAGAGTGGGGACTACCCTGTTCTGTAGAGTGGGGACTACCCTGTTCTGTAGAGTGGGGACTACCCTGTTCTGTAGAGTGGGGACTACCTTGTTCTGTAGAGTGAGGACTAACTTGTTCTGTAGAGTGAGGGCTACCTTGTTCTGTAGAGTGAGGACTACCTTATTCTGTAGAGTGAGGACTACCTTGGTCTGCAGAGTGAGGACTACCTTGTTCTGTCGAGTGGGGACTACCTTGTTCTGTAGAGTGAGAACTATCTTGTTATGTAGAATGGGGACTACCTTGTTCTGTAGAGTGAGGACTACCTTATTCTGTAGAGTGAGGACTACCTTGGTCTGCAGAGTGAGGACTACCTTGTTCTGTCGAGTGGGGACTACCTTGTTCTGTAGAGTGTGGACTACCTTGTTCTGTAGAGTGGGGACTACGTTGTTCTGTAGAGTAAGGACTACCTTGTTCTGTAGAGTGGGGACTATCTTGTTCTGTAGAGTGAGGACTACCTTGTTGTGTAGAGTGAGGACTACCTTGTTCTGTAGGGTGGGGACTACCTTGTTCTGTAGAGTGGGACTACCCTGTTCTGTAGAGTGGGGAATACCCTGTTCTGTAGAGTGGGGACTACCTTGTTCCGTAGAGTGGGGACTACCTTGTTCTGTAGAGTGAGGACTAACTTGTTCTGTAGAGTGAGGACTACCTTGTTCTCTAGAGTGAGGACTACCTTGTTCTGTAGAGTGAGGACTATCTTGTTCTGTAGAGTGAGGGCTACCTTGTTCTGTAGAGTGAGGACTACCTTGTTCTGTAGGGTGAGGACTACCTTGTTCTGTAGAGTGAGGACTACCTTATTCTGTAGAGTGAGGACTACCTTGGTCTGCAGAGTGAGGACTACCTTGTTCTGTCGAGTGGGGACTACCTTGTTCTGTAGAGTGAGGACAACCTTGTTCTGTAGAGTGGGGACTACCTTTTTCTGTAGAGTGGGGACTACCTTGTTCTGTAGAGTGAGAACTATCTTGTTATGTAGAATGGGGACTACCTTGTTCTGTAGAGTGAGGACTAACTTGTTCTGTAGAGTGAGGACTACCTTGTTCTCTAGAGTGAGGACTACCTTGTTCTGTAGAGTGAGGACTACCTTATTCTGTAGAGTGAGGACTACCTTGGTCTGCAGAGTGAGGACTACCTTGTTCTGTCGAGTGGGGACTACCTTGTTCTGTAGAGTGGGGACTCCCTTGTTCTGTAGAGTGAGGACTATCTTGTTCTGTAGAGTGGGGACTACCTTGTTCTGTAGAGTGGGGACTTATACCTTCAGGCACACAGTTTGAGAACATGGCCTGCTCAAGAGAAGATATTGAAGCTAGTAATAGAGAAAATGATCTTCTTTCTTTAATGTTTATTTATGAAAAATGCCTAAAATTACAGTGTGAGCTCTAATTTAAGAAAGTGCTGAAGGTAATCTATTCTTGGGGGTATTAATTGGGGTCAGGTCTGCATACAGCGGGTGTGTGGTTTCCTGTGCAAATTACAAACAAACCGGACGACTTTTATTTGATGTATGACAGAGGTAACTGTTGCATACAAGTGGACCTGGGCTCCACGTGCTGCTACTTACCCTTGCTGTTTAGTCTTGTTTGAGAAGGGAGATACATTGTTGAATATTTCTGAAGAT